ATAAGATTAATAAAATATGCATGGGAAATGGAGTAATTTGCACTAATTGGAGATTTAAGGGAAGTGCAAAATAAATAGGTTCCTGAGAAGGACTAAGAGGACAAATCACAAGGAATAGGGCTACAGATCGCTGCAATTCTCATCTTCCTTGCACTGTCTGCCCACTCCAGTTCCCTGCATGAGGAAGTTAATTAGTTTTCACATCCACTGAACACCAAATGGTTACAAGTTACATTGTGTTGTCATTCCTATAGTCAACTACTCTCTTTTTTGATCAACTCATACACAATCTGCAGTATCTGCAGCTATTTTTGTCACTACTGAATTTGTCCAAGTGACTACTGCCCCAGCCAGCTTATACAGATAAAGGCAAAAAAGAATCATATTCTTCCTGCAACTGAAATGCAAAACATGTCACATTTTTAGTGCACATTTTGTCAGTCACCGCATTTTTAACGCACATTTTGTTGTAGTCACCACCCAACACGTTACCCAAACCTTGGTTTACACCTGCAAGCACAAAGAGGAAAAAGACATGCAGGTGATACTTGCCAGCCTAAACCATGCAGAAGGTATCCCATGGGTTTCCCTGCAGGAGGGATCTCCGTGGAATGCCAAAGCGAAAGCCCAGCTCCTACAAGGGAGCGTGTACCAAATGGTGTGCTGGTGATTGTTAGGAGTTCAGTAAATTATGAAAAGATGTGAAGGTGTAAAGATTAAATAATATGCATTTGACTTTATTCTTGCACATAATTGCAGATAATAAATACACATTAAAAAAAACATTAACATATATTGTACTAAACCCACATATTCTAGGCAAACAGGCTCCTTCCCATGAGTACATACTTCCCCCAGGTTACCAAAACGCACACTCCACCTGGTATAGAATCTGGTACAAAATTATTAAGACACCAGTACTTAGATGTGCTCTAACCTTTCTTCATGAGAGATGTAACAATGCAGGTACTGCTCAACTGCATTTACTAGAATTTTTCCTGATAAAATAAACTTGTTCTTTTGTCAACACTCTTCCTCTCTTTTTTCTTTTTTTTTTTTAATCTTTAATTTCTCCCCTGTGAATCTGTTCAGATTCAGACCAGCATCTTTAAGACATGTTTGTACAAGGGTATAGGGTGAATCCAGACCCCCCTTTTTGCAGCCACAAATGCCTTTCTGGCATCATGCCTCCGTGGCGCAAGTGACCTTGCATTTTGTAAGCTCTTGCAAAAGGCACTCACAGGCCTTGCACGTTGTCAAGCCCAATGCTACGGAGGCTTCCTAAGTGACTGCATGTAAGGAGTTGGTAAAAATACACTGTGAAAGACACAGGAGAACGCCAGATTCCTCCATCCCAGAGCTGGGATGTCAGACCATCTTCTGTTTCCACAGAGTCATTACACAAAACCCCTCAGCCTTCAGGCAGCATTCACTCCCTTGTTCAGACGTTCAGGGTACCACCCAAAGCATTTGACACAGAGCACACATAGTTTGGATAGCTTTTTTTTTCTACATAGATGTTTAAACTATAGAAACTTGCACAAAGAAATTGGAGTGAGTTATTGAAGTAGAAAATACATCTGTTTTAAAATACAGATTCAAAATATCAAACAACACATTTACTATTTTTTCTCAGTTATCATTAAACTAATAATAATTGCTCTCATTCCTACATTTAATCCAGAAAGTATGTCCTTAACAAACTGCAAGACTGTCTAATAAAATATTATATCAAATTTAGGACAAAACCATTTGTTGTTGTGCAACAGTGACCAGCAATTAAGACAGATAAGAATTCTAATCCAGTATGTCATAAAACAATTATGGAACTAGAGACATTGATCAGCACAGTAAATTTGCACTGAGATAGACATGACAAATACAAACATAAAAGAACTTAAGGACTCAGATAAGAAACTATGAAAAGGAATTCTTTTTATGAGAAATGAGAGGAAAATATGCCCCTCAGGAACAGAAGCATTTGTTCTCAAACTCAGTGCTCTCTTGCGAGAGGATTTAGATAATCTATGAATATTTAAGAGAAAGAAATCAACTCACCCTGTCTGTGCTACGTTTATAATAGTGTTAAACATATTTTTGTCCCTATGGAAAAAAACAAGCAAAAAAATGCTACAGACATATAGACACATGCTATTTCCTTTTTTACAGTAATATCTTTCCTCAGGTTAAAGAACAGGATACCCCAATGCATCCTCTAAGCTATTCATGCATAAAATCACAAAAGGTGTACCTGCAGATCAATAAACTTTTTATTTCCAGGGAAAAAAGTAACATCATTAGTTCAGGGAAATTCAGGTCTCATTTGAATCAAAGACCAAATACCAAATACTGACTTAAGTGACAGGAGGAACTGGCTTTTGGGATTAAAAGCCATCAAGCTACATTGTATTTTAGAATCTTCATAAAGTTTTAGCCTGTAAGGATTGCTCACTATCATTGTGCATTTAAGATTTTGCTTTCTTTTTTTTCTTTACCTTATGCACACTGATTACAGATGACCAGGTCCTGAATCCCTCAAGTCAAAGGAACGCAGAACATGCATTGTCTGTTCTTAGCAGGGTAACCCCCAAATCAGTTATTCAGCAGGTAAGGAAGTAGAAAAATTAATTTTAATTGTTCTTCAGTACCTTGTTAGAGATTGTCCCCAGCACTCAAGACTAAGGAGTTTAAGATAGGACTGTGCTAATATAAGAGGGAGTATCAGCATAAAAGAACCCCAAAATAATGCAATAACTTGAAGCTCTGGGGGGGAGGGTGGTTGCAATGTCTGACAGTACTAGTTTAATTCCTTGTTAGGTCTATCGCATGATGTTTGCTTTTTTAGCATGGTTAAACCCCTGTTTAAGGCAGGGCATGCAGGGTTTAGCAACAGATCTTGCAGATAAGGAGTTGTTCTGCTCTGGGAAGTGGAGGGGGATCTGAAAGCAGTGGAAGAATACCAGGTCTGCTCTTCAGCAAAATAAAAAGCCCCAGCATGTGAGTAATCCTATCTTCAGTCATCAAAGTATGTAGTCAAGTCGTTCTCTGAATAATGATGGGATTACTCACGTGCATAAGGTTAAGCACATGCTATTGCTGAATTAATATATCTGGACAGAAGCCATAGTATTCTGTGCAGTTCTCTTCAGAGGTTTTCTCTGGAAATACTGGAACATCCACGGAATTGAAGGGAGCATAAAGATCCAGTTCTGTTTTCTATGTAATTATCACACAGAAACTCCTTGAACTTAAACCTACTGGTTTCTGCTTGGCTTTGAAGCATGTTAGTCCTCATATAGGATATAATTTTGTCCTAATACCAGGACCAAAATGCTACTTGACACTCTACGACAGTACAGTAAAGAAAAAAATCTTTTATAAGGGGATATAAACCATTATTCTGGTTTCAGAAGTCACTAATGAAACTAATATGACTGTGCAGATATAATTGAAAAAATGTGACCATTAAACTGTACAGTATATAGAATACTTATCTACAGTAATATAGATGTCTTATTTTCAGGTACATGGCAATGAAGTAAACAAGGGAAGACTTGTTTTGATGAGATCATACCAGCTACCATAAGAGTAGGTGCCTAAGATGAGAAGAACTTTGATTTCAAACCAGGGATGACAGGGTTCATGCAGCCCAGGCAAGAGAGGGCTGTCTGAACCTCAACACACAGAAGCTTCATGTGCTGCCCCCCTCAAACCAAGGGCAGCCGGGAGAAGAGGATACAGATCCTCAGGCAAGGAAGAAACTCCCAGGTCTGGAGGCAGACTGAAAAAGAGGAGGTGGGACAGAAAGCCATAAAAATAGCAGCCAGAATGATGCATTCCTATCTATCAGTTTTCTGTGGTCCACAGTCATAAGGCATGATCACTGCACCATCCAGTAAGTGTTGATGCACACATGATGTGTAACAACAGTGGGACATTTACAGACGCTGACTAAAATACTGGAGTAGCTGGTAACTCTTCTATTGCCAGCTACCATTTTTTTCATTATATTTTTCTAACTGATTTTGCATGGTATAAGGTAAAAATGAGCTACAGACAGCTGGTCTATGAGAACAATAGTGTGTAGGTAACATGTCTACTAAACATTTGTTAATAACTAAGTTCACCTCTGTGCAGAGAGCCTGAATAAGACCCATTTGCCACTTATTCTACTCCGCTGAGGACTGAGAAGGCCTTGATGGAGGCATTTGGCAAAGTTGCTGGTGTAGCTCTTGAAAGTTATGAAGAATGTGATCCTAGATCTGAGATGAAATAAGTGAGAAGGGGAGCACTGAAATAATGGTCTGGAATGAATATGACTTTCAAAGGCAACAGGTATTTTAGTTTTACCTAAACTAGAAAGAACTTACTAGAGACAGCAGTAAATCCAGTGAGCAATTTTTTCTCCAGTACTAAAAACACATTTGCCATTCAACAGAATGAACAGTATACAAACTATTTGCACATTTTGCAAACTTAGTATTATTTTTTCAGTCAGAAGCTGTTCCACAGAATACTTTCCTTTGTTAGCAATGGCACCATTTCTAGTAGAAAATTTGGAAAAAAAAAAAAAAAAAGAGTAAATTAGTTAGACTTTTAAATTATGGATACGACTTGATGCAATGTTAAGGCTTCTCTCTTGAACTGTAACTGTTCGAGCTTATCATGTTTAGAAAACTCCAGCCTGTAACTGTCAGCTGCAACCGGATGAGAGCGGACAGGGCACTTTGTGGCGGGTTTAGAAATCTAACTGCAGAAAATGTGAAGCAAAGAATTGGCATAGTTTTTACATATGTGTAATCAGGTGGGTTCCAACATTTAGAGTAATCATCCCAACTGGTCACAGCAAGTCAGATAGGTTTTCTAAAGCCTGTGTAAGTTTGACAAGGGATCTAGAAATGCTATCAAATTTTCTGCAGTACCTCAGTCACGTGGAAAAGGTTTTATATACTTGCACTGTTGAAAAGGCAAGACAATACAAATTAAAAGGCACAGATATTATAGAACAGTCACATTTCTTGAATAAAAATATCTTATAAATCAGATAATGATTGAATTTGGAACAGCCATTTTGCTGTTGCTTTATTTCTCGGTGCTGACTGTTTCTTGACCAAACATCTCTATCTTTTCTAATGCTGCACCACTGTGTGCTGGAGGATTCTTTCCTGAACAGCTTTTCTCGTTTCTTCCCATTTCTGTAGCTTCTGCCAAAGTATTAGTCAACGGTTTTCCCAGTGTCTCTGGAAGCATTATTGTTAATATTCCACTCAGAAGAGCCATGACTCCAACAAGCAACTAGAAGAAATAAACAGTAGCTGTAAAGGTAGAAATGTCTCTCTAGTTATGCAACTCTTTGCTCTTACGTGAGAGTACATTTAAAATAAAGCACAAGGAACTGTTATGTAAAGCAAAGATCCTAAGTCTTAAATATTGACTGTATAAAAGATCTGCCTTTTTTTGTTGCATAAATGAAAGATTATGCAGCAGAATTAATGAAGAGCAAGTGAAGTGTTTTGTTTCACAAGGGATCAATACAAGTGCAAGCAGGAATAATTCTGTTTGAGAAAACAATACCTAGCTCTTCATTCGGTATTTCTACTGTCAGGTATGTAACAACTGATTCTAGGATTGCATACATTTATTTTTACATGCATGTTCCTAGAGGTACAATTACCCTGCCACCTGTAATCTTCATTTGCACTCTCACTCGTGAACCTATTCTCCCTGTACCTGTGTGCCTGTTCCTCCTGCACACAGCCAAAATCAGAATTTCAGCATGGATCTTTGGCCTGGAGCCACAGAAGCGCACATCCCTGCTCAGGAGGGCACTTCAGGAGACAATGAGCTAGCTCTAAACAGGAATACTTTGCTAAACTGCAGTTTCACAGATCTGTTAGGAGTGCAGGCATCTACTGACATTTGCACTGGGATCACATCTTGGATTTCTCCATGGTGTACACAGTTCCGTAACAACAGCTTACTTCAGCACGAGTGGTGCAAGAATCAGGATCCTGTGGGGTAGATGCAGAAGCACACACATGCTCCAGGAGTATCTTTTCTTTCCCTTCATTTCTGTGCCTTGTTCAGTGAGAACAATTCACACTTTCCTCCTCTGAAGTACAGAACAGCATTAAAACCCTAACATTCTTCCAACGTCAGGTTATAAATGACCCAAATCTCTCTTGATAGAAATGCTTCCACAGCGTACATCATGCCTGGCCTCAGTATTTTTCCATTTTATGACTGTGCGCTTTGATTCTGTATTATCCTTATCTTGCCCTGTGCTAATTCCACGCCTGCCCTGTTTGTTTGATACTTTCTTTCCAAGTGTGTGAGAGTGAGCATTTGGAATTAGTATGCCTATGTCTTTCACACAGAGCTTGAGAAAAGAACTGGCCAGTTACCCTCTGCAGCTAAGCCAGACTTTCTCCTTAAGTCAGAAAGGTGCTTTAAAATTGGAATTCTCCGTTGAAACCTTGAAGAGAAGTATTTTCATGGAAATGCACCGTGCTGCTTTTCCTTCCCCCCACCTCCAAAAGAAGAGGACAGCTTGTCTCAAGCATTCTTTTGAGAAGCAGAATTCACACTGTTGCATACACTCCTTTTTTTGCACTTGCATCAAATATAGAGGCTGACAAAATAAAGCAAAATACTGTTGAATACTACAAACTACGGTAAAAATAAAATAGTCATGCTCTTACCATGAGAAATTAAAAAAAAAATATCTTAGCAGTAACGTGACCAGAGGAAATGGCACTGAGTGACAAACTGAGGGAAATCCTTGCAGGCATATATATATGTGCCATGGGTGATACTTAAAAATCTATTCCAAAATATTAAAGTCTCACCTCTGAGTGTCAAAACTCTTCTGCACTATTAAAACATGATTTTCTGCCATGGTAAGACAGGATGAATTGACACACGGCAGCTATTCAACAGTAACCTCTCTTACGCACATTCTTTAAACTGTCATAAGGTTATATTTGAGGATATTGAGGGCTGTTAAGGATATTGAAGCTTATGGATGCCTGTACATTTGGAGTTTTATGAGAGCAGGGTCACTACTGGTGCCAAACAGAACAAGGTTAAAGCAACACTGTGTGCTTTGAGTATGTGTGTCTCCTCTGTTTCGGCTAGTCTTTTAGACACTTTGCATTCTTCTCATGTTTTCCTTCCTCATGAACCTACCTCTTATTCCCCTGTAAACTCTCACCATTCTGGAAGCGTACACACCACCATCTTTCCTGCCTTTTCATCTCAGCTCTCTTAACTCTATTCCATCCCGTGTTAGTTTTCTTTTTTCAATGTGAAAGCTGCTGCATGCCGACTAATACAGTGTTTTTCCCTTCTCCCTGACCCTACAAAGCATTTTCCAATATTTCCTATGAAAGACAGACTATGAAACAATTAAGTCACAGTGTATGTACAGAAGGACTTCTCATGAAGCACCTGACATAATTTAGCTCTTTGCTTGCTCATAACAAATGTGTACATTTTGTATGTATGTACTATTTTACACATATTTCAGGATCAGAGAATGTTCTTCTGATATAGTCAATGAGTTAAATGTTTATGGATTAAAGTGTACTATTGTACAAAGTATTTAAGTATGTTTAAGCTCCACTGAAGTTAATTCGACAGGAGTACCTGCTTAAATTCATTGCTTTTTCAGGGTCTTAATTTCAAATCCGACTTTCTGCTTAGTCAAAATCTCAAAGTATTCCCAACACTTCAGTACAGGCAGCAGCTTCTAACAGCTACCATAACTAACTTCAAAAAAAGATTTACCACCATTTTTTTAATGTCTTCCTACCTACCTGAAACAACAATTTTAGTTTCATAGTGGTCTAAGACCAGGACTTAATATATTTAGTCTAGAACAAAAGATAATTCGAATTAAATATCCCTACAAAATAATACGTTTACTTTTGAGAACAAATGATTATTCTAGTCTACTATTTATATTTATATCTACATCTGATAGCTCTGAACCAATATAAAATGTGATCTTATTTACAAAATTCCTACTTCAACAAAAAAAGGTTAAATTTTGTCCTGAAAACCCACTAGTATTAGACACAGGATTTGCATTCATTTAACTTTACTGACCTCAGTGAAGAGTTTTTTAAATTTGTAATTTCTGGTTTATCTGAGAGAAAAATCAAGTCTGTTAAAGGGCTACTCTAACATAATTCCTAACAGCTGAGAAACAGTAATAGGTTATACACGGAACAGTTACTTTATTGTAAGTTTTCTATAAAGTTGTCACATGAAAAACATACTTGGTGAGTTAGTCGAGATTTATAGGCATTCAAGTGAGATGCTTGCATTACTCACAGGTGGCATAACTGTATGGGAGGCAGACTGTCAAACAAATAGCAATAGTAACTGCTTGACAATGTGTGGTGTGTACAATAGATCAACATGATGTATGTCAGTTTACTTACAAATGTAATCCACTTAATTTCATTCCAAAACATGTTACCTGAGACTTGGCACACTATGCTCCAACTCAAGACAAGGCTATTTAATAAACTGACAAATGTTTTATAATAGGAGCTAATAATGAAAACATATTCACTGTGAACTACTACACAACTCTACAGATAGTCTGGATACTTTTTGTACACTGAGAGTTGTTCAGAGCTGAAATAATTCCTCTGTTTATACTCTCATTTGCACAGCATGTTCAAGCATTCCCCATCTGTGGTTTAGCTGCAGCACTTCTGCACAGAAAAGGCTTACCAGCCAGTAAAGGCAAAACACTGACAAGAGAAAAAGAATGCTCTCTCATGACCACTTTGTTGTGCAAATGTTTCTTCTGGGATAATATCTTGGTTTGTATGGGACCATTATTAAGAAAGAAAACATTTTTTAGGAGCTTGAGGGAATAAATTAATTTGTGGTCTGCTTCATCCTCTTGACTTCCATCCAAAACAACTGAAAGTAATTAATTTAAATAATGAAACAAGTTCCCAAGAATTCTCTGAAACCAATCTCTAGCATCTATAATTGAAGATTTTATAGTTGCAAATTCAAAAGGGCACAATGCCACTTTTTCAGGAAATTCCAATGTGGTAGACAAAATTAAAGTAACAATCTGGGTGAAAGACACATCCCAATATATTTTTACCTTCTGATACGTGTAATCTACATATAACATTGGTGTGCTAGTCACAGTGAATTCTAAGGGGTTTTGAAAGAACTCAAACAATTTTTAAATCATTAATAAACTCTTCTCTACTTAAAGCTTTAATATAAACATTGTAATTCCTTCTGTTTTTACACATATAGGCATAAATTATACTTTAGGAGTAAAAAAGGGATTGAATAGCTGCAGGATTTCTAAGCAGCAAATGCCTCATAACATAAATGTAATAAAGAAATGTGATCCATTTGTGAGCAGGAAATACATAAAATATCTTGTCCAAAGTGGATTTGAAGCTACATAATGCAGACAAAATGCCCAAAGTCCACAAAGGAATGGTTCCACCTCTGTTTTCTTGGGGCAACTGGACGTAGAAGACAAAACCTAATGGTAGCATGACCTGGAGTCACCTACAAGTAGGATGTGCCTAGTGAATCCAGTGTTCTGTTGCTTGTCAAAATCACCATGAACCTCATCAATATATCATTTGCTTCTCTTTTTCTATCTCATGAATTGTTTTGTTCGGTTCTTGTAAATGAAAAATGAAAAAATGAAGCTTTGGGACAGCTGTGAAGACCAAGTATAGTAAGCATAAGACATTCTTGATCTCTTGGAAGGCTATTCCAAAGATGCAATGTCCCAGGAAAGCCATGGAAAAGATTAAGGAATAATATTAAGAAAAAACAGCCACCCATGGTGAATTCCAAGAATGGAAGAACTATGCCTTTGAAAAAAGGTAAGAGTAAATCATGAGCATGGTCAAGAACTGCTAGGCCTGTAGAGTAAAGAAGTATGGATTAAGACACTTCCTAAATGTTACATGGTAGATAAAGTGAATTTTTATGGAAAATATTTTTATCAATTTTATACTAGGATTCAGTGCATATGTTTGTTTATATCTTCCACCATAAAAACTTTTCAGAAGATTTCAGTGACTCCAAGTCTCCCTTTTGCTTTAGCTGCATATTTTTAACAATATGAAGTTACTTTGAGACTTAAAATTTAGAACAAGAATGGTTCATTCAATTTCCTTTTCAAAATAAAAGCTCAGCTTTTGGTTCCTGAGAAAACAAGTGACACATATGCCTTTTCAAAACCAGAAACATTCACCATTGAAATAAATACTTACAAGTGGCATGAAAATCCAAACGCTTCTCAGATATACACAGAAAGGAGCAACCACACTTCCTGCACGGCACATCATGCTTCCACTTCCAACAGCAAGCGATCTACACATAAAACAAAGACTTTGATAAGAATTCTGGCAGATGAAGCAAACATTAGAACATTAGAAATTAGAAATGCACAGACACTCAAAACATCAGTAGGATGACATGTGTCTTTATGCAATGGTACTAGGAAGCTATTGCTACACCAGTGTAAATTTATATTGTAATGCAATTCATCTGCTTCTATAATTAAGATTAAAAATTCATTCAGCAGAGACCAGAGGGTGAACAACCAGGACTTTTAAGAAAGGCATAAATAATGTTTAAGAAAGTATGAGTATTCTTCTAGTTCCTCAATGAAACCAAAGAATGCACATGGAAATGAAAAATAAATAAAAATTTATTATATAGCCAAATACTAGACATCTCTGGAGCAGCAGAGGAACTCATCCCATCCCAAGTCTTTTGGACCACTGCCACTAATGTCAAGAGCTGCTAGATCTGGCCCGGGAGCATAACAAAGAAAAGGAAATAACAGCAAAATAATGAAAAATATATGACTGATGAAAGCTCTTACCTTACAATTGTTGGGTACAGTTCTGCTGTGTAGAGATATATAAGGCCAAATGCCACACCTATTGAAAATTTTCCAGCCATATTTGCTAAGATAATTAATATATTGAAATCCTATTGAAAGAGAGCACAAATAAATAAATCACCAGAAAATAACACTGTTTCAAACTTAATTTAAATCCTTCAAAAGTTGTGACCCTTCTTTAAACAAGAAGCAGTACTTATTGCTTGCTTTTTTAAAATAGGTCTTAGTAAGCAACTAGTGTCCATTTAACTTTTTACCAGTCCTGGTTCACTGAAGCCCTGGGAACATTTTACATGTGACCCCAGCAATGAAACGGTGAAACCTGTACTGAAAATACAGAAATCTATCTCAGACTGGCAGCCGCATTGTAAAAACAGCCTTTAACCAACTATATGATTTAGAAAGGGCAGCTGCATCTACTGACTTAAAAGCCTTTAAAATCAATTTCTAGTATAGAAACACTTTCAACGGTACGTGACTAACCTGAGGTATGAACATAATTAAAACACAGATCAGTGCACTTAAAATAAGGAACGGAATGAGTGTGTTTCTCCTTCCCAGTTTGTCCATCCCAATGCAAGCAATGATATAGCAAGGCAACTCCACAGCACCTGTCAGTATGAAATTATTTTGTTTTAAGTCATGATTACACATATTCATGTTATAACTTCCTCTTTATGGGGATTCATTTAATCTAGGGGGTAGTAAATAACTGAAATCTAGAGATAACCAGTGTGTTGGGCTAGTTCATTTGGTAACAGAAATAGCAACAGAAGGCAGAAAGCATGGCCTAAAATATGACAGTGGGGGATGGAGAAGGACAAGGGAAACGGGTTTCACAGCACAGAGCAGCTCCTTTGTGGTGCTGTGGTGGAAAAGTACAGAAAACAGCAAGGCCACAGTCCTGCTTTTATGACACTGGCACTTATGACTGAAAGCTCTCCATTTTCTGCTCTTTTGCTTCAGGTCTTTTCACATCAACAGCTTAAATGTGCCCACGAGGAATACTGCTGGTGTCACACTGACACAGCTCTCAGGATTTGCCAGCTTCCACCCGGACACAGAGCTGAAGCCACAGGCGCCTCCCCCAGCTTCAGCCCCAGATCACCCCAACGTAAAAGGCAAGCAAAGTCTCTCCAGGTCTGGTTTTCTGAGCCAGCTCCACAAACACAGAAAGTGCAGTTCCAGCTTTCTCTCTTCTCCATTGAAAAGAGGGCAGCTGCTTACAATACCCCATTCTTATTCAGATTGTCTCTTCCTAATGTCTCTTTCCAGAGAAGAACTTCTGCAGCTCTAAAGGAACTGGCGTTTGGCTAGGACTGTTCACAAATCCCATGTAAACATGATTTGCCCCTAGACAAATTATATTGAGCCGAAGCCAGTTCAGACATTTTAAACCAACTCGCTCATGAAGAATGGTACTATGTCCAATGTAAAATAAAGGAAGAACGTAAGATACAGCCCTGAACAAATACGCTACACTCCTTTACTAAGCACATGTAGTATGTCAACACACTTATAATATCAGGAAACAATCTTTTGGGCCTGTGTTGGTAAAAGCAGGTTGCAATTATTCAGTGTATGTTAGTCTGCTAAAATATTTTTGAAGGAGGTACATACAGTGATTTATGCGCTGTACTCCACCAAACCATTTCTGTGCAATACTAGCATCCACTCTTCAACATGTCAGTCTACCCATACGCTATAATATGTGACAACACAAACTGCATTCATGAGTGCCCCAGTCTTGTGTGCTTATGTACATGAACAGTCACATTCACTTTACGGAGAGCACTCAGCTGCATAAAGCAGACCGTATGATTTAATTCTTTGCTGGCTCAGAGCTGCATGCCCGATCTAGAGTCTTCTGAAGTCAATGGAATATTTCCACTGATCTTAACAAACTTTAGATCAGGCCTTGAAAGCACTGAGCTGCCTTTGTAGACAACTTACATACCAGAGGAAGATTACAGTCAGACCAACAAAATTAAAAGAATACTACAACTATACCAAAAATATACTTCTGAGAAAACTAAAATTACTCTTGCTTCTGAGAATTATGAATCTATTTTCTACACAGACAGACTCACTATATCAGGACTCTAAATAATTAAAGGAATAATTTTTTTCTCTTGTTTTCCAAGTTTGTGCCTTTAACAGAGCCATGTGAATTTTGTGTTGCTGGTCTGCTTCCCTTAGTGTTTGTGTGGTTCTGCTATATGCTTGCAGGGCAAAGAGGAGACAGGCAAAATATGGTTTTACAATCACAAAGACAGATGGAGAAGAATTTTGTACACCAACAAATTTTAAATTCTCTTTTTTTTCCAGAAACAGTGAGATTTGGAGTGAATGATACTCCTCCTGTGTTAGTCAACTTTATGAAGAGTTATCAAGAAACTTTTTGGACAAGGTTCATAATTGAACGAACAAAGTTAAAAAATTGGCTGTCAAATCTATAGACATTTCTAAATGTTATGTTCCAGTTCTGTCATAAACAGAATAAGGTACAAAAATATTTACCTATGAGAAAGAGATTTAAATATTCATTGCCTCCTAGACTGACAGAACTGAGGGAGAAGACGTAGTACCCCAAGCTCCCAGTGAACCAGATCAGCCAGACTGTGATGGTCCTTCTTGCAATGTGCCAGTTACAAAACAGGTCTAAGATGTTGTGCTTCTTTGTTGAGGAAGTGTCATTGTCACCTGTTCTGCCACTGACTAGATCATCTTGTTGGACTGAGCACAGTTCAGAAACTTTGCAGGGAGTGCTTACTTTATTCCATCTTGCCATTATATTAATTACTTTTTGTGCATCTTCATATCTTTCCTCTGACAGGAGCCAAAAAGGTGTTTCTGGGAGCATCCAGCAGCACAAGACAAAGGGAAGAGTGGCTATGGAGAGAAATATCTGATAGACCCACCAGGTCCGAACCAAAAATCCCACGAGTGCCACAACCATTATTCCCATAGCAAAAAAAGCATGGACATGCATAGAAGCCCAGGTTCGTGCTTTAATGCCAACAAATTCAGTCACATAAACAAAAGCCACAACCAGATAGCCACTTGAAACCTGGGGGGGTGGGAGAGAGAAAAAAAAAGAGTGAGGTTTGTGTCTACTCTCCTTGTGCAACAGCAGTAAAAACAAACAGCTAGTGTTCCATATTTGTGTATGCTTAATTGCCACCACACTGGCATGTCCCACACTGACAGAAAAAACCACAACCCTGAAAACAAATCTGCTGGAGAAAAAGTTCACTCAAACCTTCAGACTGCCCAGACACTGTATTTAAAAATGTCACGTGATTTTGGATGCTTCTCTGTAGTTGGGGAGAGCCAGCAAGCTGCACCTGAAAAAGAGCCTGATTGGCTGATGTCGCTAAGCCCTTCACCTCCAAAAATCAGGTCCCTTAATGACATTGCAAACTAGACTCTTAGGAAAACGAGGTCCCCTGAAGTAACTGCCGCTTCTGCAAATCTTGATCTTGGCTTTACGTCAGGGAACTGCAAATTTACTAAGAATTACCTTCCACATCCTTGTAAATTATCTCATCAAATTAAATTTTTACAATGTTGGAAGAGAATCTCATATATGTGGCTATGTGTTCTCATATGTTATCTAGCAAATGCAACTACTGGC